GGTCCGGAGCCGGGAGGGGGGCAATAGAGTTTCCCTGGTGGTGCCCAGAGTGGCCACCAGGGAAAGCTGGGGAGGGCTAGCCTCCCACTAGTTCGAATTAAGGGGCTACACACCCCTTAATTCGAACTAGTAAGTTCGAACTAGGCTTAGTCCTCGTAGAATGAGGTTTACCTAGTTCGAACTAAGCGCTCCGTTAGTTCGAATTAAGTTCGAACTAGCGGAGCGCTAGTGTAGTGCCTATCAAAGTTAATTCGAACTAACGTCTGTTAGTTCGAATTACTTTGTAGTGTAGACATACCCTTTGGTACTATTACAAAATAAATTTTGGCAGCCCTGGTGCCCACCTTTGGCCTGTTTGCAGTCTGACCCATGACCCACTGATCTGCATGGGCTTTGGCTCAAGCAGGCCTACTGAGGGTGTGTGTAAAGGGGACAGCTGCCTTAGGCCCTTTAAATTGCCACTGGTGAACCACGCAGCACACTCCAGGTAGCTCTGAGGGCTGGTTGGCGATGGGGCGAGGGGTATGAGGTTGGCCATGGAAGAATGTGGCCAATGCTGAGGGCTGGCTACCCCACTCCACCCCTTCTGACTGAAGCCCTTTCTGGGAGCCCTTTCTTCCTCCTCTCCCTCCCCCGCCCCGCTCAGCGAGTCTCTTCTGACTGAAGCCCTTTCTGGGAGCACAGAGCTTCTTCCTCCTCTCCCTCCCTCGCCCCGCTCAGCGAGTCTGTCAGCAATCCTGAGCTCAAGCCCTCAGAAGGGGTCCACATTGCTCTGCTATTCCCATAGCCTTCTAGCTGCAAAAGAGACAATCACTACCTGAAGTAGCCATAACCCACTTATCTTGCAATTGCAGCTGCCTGGTCCCCTTGCGCTGAGGAACTAGCTGAGTATGTGCATGGCAGCAGGGAACTCAACCCCCTATCCCAGACAGACTGACTCATGCTAACAGGGCTGAAGCGAGCAGGCTATAAAGAGCAGGATGAAAGTTGTGGTTTAGGCAGCAGTTCAGGCTCTCAAGCCCACCCATCCCTAGGTCTGAGCTCAGGTGCCTATGCTGAGTCTTCACCAGAGCTGCAACCTCCCCATTGCTATTTTTAGTATGCTGCCTCAAGCCTTGCTAGCAAAAGCCTATCTACTTAGGCAGAGGAAGAGGCTCCACCTGCAGTGTAGATGTTCCTGCAGAGCACTGGATCAGTGGACTGGAGGAATCCCAAAGTTGTCACTGAACACTGGGATTTAGCAGCAGCTAATAAAGCTGGACACCATATCCAGGAGAATGTATCGAACATTTTTCCTCCTGTATTGTTACAATCCACTATGTGTATGTTTTGAGCTAAATGAGAAATAACAGCAGAAAATATTTTTGTCACGTGACTGGTATAAAAACAGAACCAGAAAAAAATAAATCAATGGCTGTATTAGAAGATACACTCTAACATATAACATTCAAATTCAACAAATGGGAATTTTGACACAAAAAGCAGGGGCATTCCATTGAAAAATATAAAGTAAGAGAACATATTATCACTGGATTGAATAGAAAAATGATAAATACGACACTGTCATTTCTAACTGGGGACAGCTGGCAATTATACAAGTACTCAGTAAATATGACTTCCTATCAGAATCATTTAACAACATTCAATACTCTTCTCCCCTTTCGAAAACAGAATGTTCTGAGTTGTAAATTACTAGATAGAACTATGGCCACCACCTAAAAGGAGAAGATTTTTTTTCTTTATAAAGGTTTATTGCAAATGCATGACAAGACAAATGTATGCAATCACTGACTGCCACAAGTTCAACATTGTTGCATTTGCTGTAGCATCAATAAATATGCACCAGGAACATAAAAATCTATTTTAATGTCTCCATGAATAATAATATCCTGTGTTACAAAAGAAAAGAGGTAAAAAGTCTTTTACATCTCATGAAAAATGTGTTCACAGTGACAACAACATATACCTTAAACTCAAAATAAAGCTATCTTGCTCCCTTTAGGGAAGTTTTTGTATTTTTTGTAATTAACTCACTTGGTTTTCAACATAATACAGAAAAAGCCCTTTTCTCAAAACCATGTGATGATGGAAAGACAAATTACTTATCCTGCTATGTATGCAGTAACTACAATATTGATTATCAACAATTTAGCATATAATTACAAACATAGAAAACATCTCTGCTACTGCATTCAAGTTACATATACAGCCAATATCAAAAATACATAACAAAGTATATGGAAAGTAAGATTTTCTTCCTTTTTCTGAATGTTCATTTCTGGATTAGAATAGTGTAAACAGGAATGCTGGAAAAAGTCTATGTATAGGAACATTCCTGTTACCATATTCCAAACCTGAAATAAACACTCAACGAAAGGAAGAAAAAGTCACCATGGTATTTAATTTAAAGAGCGGAAGACAATCTACAAATTACTTGCAAACTTGCATGAATCCTAATGCTAGAAATCCAAGTTCATGTATGGAAAGACTTAAAAATCAACATTAACAAACAAGTAAAGACAATTAAGATAGAAAAGGCTTACACGTAATCCTGAAAACACTTATTATTGGCCATAGTGATTTCCATCATCAATAATCCCAGTGACTACTGTTGGCAGAAATCATTATCCTCAGTAGCATTTCCAAGATGGGGTCTAAAATGGTGGCCTCCTAAAATTCTCTCTGCAAGAAGCTAAGCGGGTTTAGGGGAAAAGCAAAACATGTATTGCATTAATTGCTGAGCTCTGCTGATGTGCACAGAAGTGCAGAACTCTATTCTCAAAATTTACATACATTACAAATACTGGACGCTGGGACTGTTCAAACCTATTGCATGCAAATAATTCACTTTCTCATTTGTAAATAAAAATACATCACATAATCTATTTACATAATCTTTGACAAAGAAACAGCACATTAATTCAAGACTAGATCATTAGCTTAAAATTGTTTTTCTAAATAATTTAAACGTCAAGGACTATACTTCTTACTAAAAATCCTTCATTCAATGAAATAGTTTGTAAACACTGAACATGTACATGTATACAATTTACAGTCTCAGAAGGAAATAAATTTCTGGCTTATCATCACTGCTTGGCTCCATCTGAAAAACTGAATCATCTCTACAAAACTGGTCATTGCATCCGTACTGCAAAGAAGTGCATGAGCCCTCTGGTGCACCCCGACCTTCCAGATCCTCCCCACTGAAGTTATTCAGGTATCTTGCTATGTAAGAGCCTGTGGAATGCCTGTTGATAACATGAGCCGATACTGATGGTTTGTTTCTTAGAACTACCCCTGCTATGCTGGTAGCATTAGAAAGTTTTTGCTTGTTGGCTTCTTGTCTTTCCTTGGCACGACTGGCAATATTACGTACTCGGCTTTGACTTCTGGATGACAGTTTTCTGACCAATGCTTTGGGGCAATCATCATCATCGTCGTCATCATTCTGCTTAGAATATAAAGTTTGACAGTTGTCTTCCTGGTCAAAGGATACCAGTTTTCGCAGTTGTTCTGTCAGAGTGTCTGTAGATTGTGGTCTCTGGGTTTTCATAGCTGCAACTTTCTTATCTCTCATGCCAGATGTAATAAAGCTTCTACTTATATATTTGTATTTGCTCTCAAAATTGCAGGAAATATCCTCTGATGTCAAATCTCCAAGGCTCTTGGATTTGCATGGACTAGGCTGTTTGATGGCTGTAGCAGGAGGATAGGGCAAACTGTTCTTGGGTGTAGGTGAATGCATATTAAGTCTGGATCTTTGAGAGACATACAACAAATCATTTTGCATATCTGAAGCTTGCAGATAATTATTATGCAAAAAGCCAACACTCTGAAATGCAGGATAAGGAAAACTTTGATTTCTTGCAGTCCTAAAATTATCTGAATTATCCACAGCAGCATTGTGAAGATCCTCATTAATTAAATTATTCCCAGAGATTCTCTCACAGTAGTATACTGAGTCCTGATTATGCTTCAGTTTCAAAGAAGCAGCAAGTTGGCTCAAATCTTCTCTCTTGAATTCGTATGCAGTTATCAGGAGGTCTTGGGAATCTCCCTCAACTTCCATAAGACTGCTGCCTGCTGAGTTTACAAAAGCAGGAGGAACAACTATTGTATCCTCCAAAGTGCCGCTGTTGGAAGTGCAGGAACTGCTGTCCTCAAGAGTCTCCCAATTTGTTCCACACTTCCTTTTGGGATTTGCAGTTAGCAAATGGAGGGGGGAAATGCACTGGGATACTGGAAGGCTATTTTCCACACAGTCTGACTTCTTACAAGCTCGTTGAGCTATTGGTTTACAGTCAGAGGCTGGTGAAAGAGATGCCTCATGGACAATTGTGTACATAGAATACTCTGTTGTCTCAGGGCTGGAGAACATAGCAGTATTTGGTGTGGAGAATAATTGTGATTCAACAGATGTTACATTAGTAAAGTTTTGCTTAAGGGGCGTACTTAGATCAACAGTAAGCTTGTGAGGATGAGCTGACACCGCATTGAAGGTTTGGTTGCTGGCGCCATGAAGACTAGTCAGATTACTTTGGTCATCTGTAACATCAAACTGTCCTATCAATGCTGAGACAGAACTACTTATCTCACTCTCATTTGTTAAAGTAACCTCATCTATAAGACGAGAAACATCGCTATCCTGTAGGGCTGCTGTGGAGGGTAAATCCTGGATGTCAGAACAGGCGATGGAAGAGACATCAGTTAGTGAAAAAGTGGCTATAGTACTATTCATAATGACATCGTATTTATTGTTTTCAAACTCCTGTTCCTTTTGAGAAAGACAACTACCTGCCAGTATTTTTTTCTCTTCTTTATATCCTCCAGTCTCTCCTCTCTTTTCATCTGTATAATTTGTGTCATGTATTTTCTCTGTTCCGAGATCAACAACTGAACCGTGTCTTATATGAACAGGCTCATTGGAAAGATGACTTTCCTGACATTCTGTGGAGTGACTGGTTTCAGCAATTCCAGTTACAAAGTTGAAGCTTTCTCCATGTTCATGTACAGGTGATTCCACAGAACTGCCAATTCTGGTGTCACTCTGGGAAGTAGCTTTTTTAGGCAGAGATGTGGAATTTGAAGAAGGTGCAGCTTGCTCAGGGGAAGAAAAGATATGTTCTTTCAAGTTTCCTTGGGTCTCACTTGTACCATTGTTGCTATCTGTTAAATCAAATAAAAAGCACAGTAGTTACACACATTTGGTTTATTACCTTCTAATAACTATTTTGCCTTTAGACAGACAAATGGAGAATGTAAAATTAGTTACAATTGTGATAAGACTTAATTATGGGGTTGTGCAGGTTTAGTAAACGTTATCCAGGTGATATGAATAAATGGGAAAATATAGTTGTAGGCACTTCACTGAAGCTTCCTTTGAATATATATTACATCAGACACGTGATGTAATATTTGTTGCTAATAATGTCAATGAGGTACCGTATTTTATACATGTGGCATTACCTTCAGTTCTGTTCCTATTCAGATTTGTACTATAAAGAAGCATGGCAATAAAGACAGAACAAAACAGCTCTGTTAAACAACATAATATATCTGGAAACAAGAGGCATGTTTATAAGAACTCTGAGTAAAACATCAAACATGCATAATGTTTTTGGTAACAATTTATGTTCAATTTTAGATTTAATTTGCGAGCTGCTAAAAACATTTAATTTTCTAAACTTTTATATTCATAAGAGGACAAGATTTTAAAGAAAGAATATATTTTACATGTTTCTACATTCGCTTATCAAATTCTGGTTACATTTCTACAACAATATCAACTGAATCCTGCCTCCTTTACTCATTCATTATTTACATTAAGATTCCTGTTAACGTCAGCTACACGTTTATCTAACTAAGGGCTGGATATGTACAACAGGACATTGTCCTTTCATGAATTACAGTTTCTATCATTCAACAGAAATCAAGTACAATTAGAAAAAAATAGTTCACTCTGCCACTGAAGGGCCTGGTCCTTTATTTATTGTGCATTCATAACTCCCACCCTAGGGGTTTGTAATGCACGGGCAATGCAAGACAGTTCCCCCATTTATAACAATGAAAACTTTCCTAATGTTCTTAAGACCAAGCACCTGAGTTGAAAGGGTCTCCAAATACTGATAGAGCTGATCCGTATTTGATTTCTTTCTATAGAGTACACAGCAAAACATAAAGGGCCAAATTCCGATTAAGTCAGTGACGATTAACTTAGCCATAATATTTTGCGGCAACGATGCTTTGTTGGGTTCAATTTAGCAGCCTGCTGCTCTTTGCTTTCAGTAATTAAGTACAGACAATTTGTCACCTGATTATTAGTCTGAAAAATTGGGGCTGCACCTCTTTTTCTGCAAATCCCACGGGCAGTGCACATGTGTGTATGTGTCTTTGTCACAGCCCTTCCATCCTTGCTCAAGGTAAGTACTTCCAAGGCTAGAGGGGCATGCGGGATCTTTACTAGCAGATTGACTATAAATAAGGTAAGAGTTTATCATGGAGGTTGGAGACGTCAAAAAGTTCAGGACTTTCGGAGACCTCTGTGACATTTTTTGCTTCAGCCCCGTGACCTAGGGTAGCAGGACCAGAGCTGTCAGCTGCCTGCCCTGGAGGTCTGAGTGATTGGAGGGGCCCTAGAGTACAAAGTCTGCATCAGGGCACTGCAGCTGTCAGTCACCATGGCTGTGGCTGAAGATCTCCACTCACAGCAGGGCTCAGGTTCTCAGTCTCCCCACCCCCTCTGCACAGGGATTGGGCTTCAGTTGCCATCATGACCCCCCTCCTACGCTGTTGACATCACCCTCCCTGCTATTTATTTTTAGTAAAAGACAGTGAAAGGTTGCAGACTTCCATGAATTTTTGTGTCTTGCCCACAATCTGCCCATGTCTTTTACTAAGAATAACCATGACAAAACCTTTACCTTAACTTCTTCACAGTGATGCCTTATTTTATTACCCTGAAGAGGCTACTGCAAAGATACCAAAGTAACCTACCTAGGGGGAGGCAGACTGAAAGCAGAGATCAGTGCCAGAAAGAAAATTGTCAAGGAACAAATTTTCCATTCTGGACCTCGGCCTTTCCCCCAGTGTACGGCATCTATAGAGGGAGAGATAAATAGGACACTAGCAGAATGCTCCCCTTTCTTTCAGTTAGCAGTCTTAGTCTGTCTTGGGGCCACTGCCCTGAGGACTTTCCCAGCAATGGATGTTTCTGCCAGAGGATCACAGCACTACAGATTTCCTCTGTGGTGGTTAATGCCCTTTGTCCTCACACAGCCCACCATGGAACATGTTGAATGGATTCTGATCCGTTATGTAGCTGAATATGCTTTGGGATGCCACTGTTTTATCCAGTTAGTCATGGGGGATTAGGGTCCCTTCAGACCCAATCATTTTGAGTGGGAACAAACAATAAAGATGATGTTTTTTCTCACAAGAGCAGTTCTGCTCAGATACATTTTAATTACATAAGAACACAAGAACAGCCATACTGGGTCAGACCAAAGGTCCATTTGGCCCAGAATCCTGTCTTCCAACAGTGGCCAATGCCAGGTGCCAGAAAAGGAATGAATTGAACAGGTAATCATCAAATGATCCTGTCACCCATTTCCAGCTTCTGACAAACAGAGGCTAAGGACACTATTCCCGCCCATCCCGGCTAACAGCCATTGATGGACCTATCTCTATGAATTTACCTAGTTCTTTTTGGACCCTATTAGAGTCTTGGGTTTCACAACATCCGCTGGCAAGGAGTTTCACAGGATGACTAAGCACTTCTTTTTGTTTTTTTTAAACCTGCTACCTATTCATTTCATTTGATAACCCCTAGTTCTTGTGTTATGGAAAGGATCAAATAACTCTTCTTTACTCACTTTTTCCACACCAGTCCTCTATTATATCACCCCTTAGTCATCTCTTTTCTAAGCTGAAAAATCGCAGTTTTATTAATCTATTCTCATATGGCAACCTTTCAGAACCCCTAATCACTTTTGTTGCCTTTTTCTGAACATTTTCCAAAGGCAAGATACATTTTTTGAGGTGAGGCAATCACATCTACAGGCAGTAATCAAGATGTGGGCGTACCATGGATTTACACAGAGGCAATAAGATATTCTCTGTCTTATTCTCTATCCTTTTCTTAATGATCCTAACATTCTGTATTTTTGACTGCCGCTACAGATTGGAGCAGATGTTTTCAGGGAACTATCCACAATGACTCAAAGATCTCTCTCTTGAGTGGTAACAGCTAATTTAGTCCTCATCATTTTATAAGTATAGTTGGGATATTTTCCAAAGTGCATTACTTTCCATTAATCAACATTAAAATTCATCTGCCATTTTGTTGCCCAGTCACCTAGTAAGATCCTTTTGAAGCTCTTCACAGTCTACTTTGTACTTGACTGTCTTGAGCAGTTTTGTGTCATCTGCAATTTTGCCACCTCACTGTTTACCTCCTTCTTCAGATCATTTATGAATATGTTGAACTGCACTTCTTGCCACACTTTATCTTTATAGTCCCTGAGACTTCAGGAGAAACAAAGGAAGAATTACTTCTTACCAGAGCCGTCCCATCCATAGAATAGTTTCAGACAGCTGCCCCAAGTCCCGTACTTTGGTGGGGGGGGGAAGGGGGCCCATGGCGATTAACCGATAAGCCTGGGCTTATCAGCTCATCCTGTCAACTACATGTCTTCTTTGGGGGGGGGGGGAAGGGGGCCCATGGCGGCTGCCTCAACCATCCTATGGATGGGCCCAGTGTGGGATGGCAGCAGAGGTTAGAGTTGTCAATGTGTAAACGACTACCTGATTAACCGATAAGCCTGGGCTTATCAGCTCATCCTGTCAACTACATGTCTTCCCCCCCATGCTGCCTCTGTATCAGAGGCAGCAAAGGGGGAAGAGGTGGGAGCCAGTGTCTGCCCCCATCCCTGCACTGCATCCTCTGATAAAGAAGCAGCAGTGCGGAGGGTGAGGGAGGCAGGCAGGAGCCAATATGCACGATGAGTCAGCTCCGCAGACCCACCTGCCCCCCCTAGGCCCTTGCTGCCTCCTACAGAAGTGTGTGGGGGGGGGCACGCAGGCAGGAGCCAGTGCTGGGGGGAGCCAGCTTCAAAGCAGAGGCAGCAGCATGGGGAAGGTAGAGGAGGCTGGGCTCGCCGTGGACAGAGCCTGGGCCTGCTGCAGACAGAGGTTGTTCCACGACAGCAGTCCCTGTCAATGGGGATCTGAGCTCCCTGCGGACAAGGGGCTGCTTCTACTCCACGCTGCTCTGATTGTGATGGTGCGTGGGCACCCCGCCACTGGCCAGACGCTGCAGCGTGGAATCACGGCCACCTGGCCCCTCCCCCGCGCCCATGTGGTGCACGCTTACACCAGGAGCGCGCATGCGCGGGGCTTTTTGAAGCGCAGGGCCCGGGGTGGCCGCCCCGTTCGCCCTGCCCTATATCCACCCCTGGTGACTGGAGGGGGGGGAGAGAACCGCCCTCTGGAGCGTGGGGCGGAGGGGAGCCAAACGTGGCAGAGGAGCCACCCCTCCAACAGGATGAGGAGCCAGAGAGGGGAGACGTCCGGCCCCCCGACCAGGGGAAGAGCAGCCAGCAGCCAAGCGATGGACTGAGGTGGCGCCCTCTGGGGAAACAGATGGTGTCCTGGCAGGAGATGCCAGAGACCCAGGTACACAGGACTGAGTAAAGGGTAGGTGACAGGGCGGGTAGGAAGGATCCCAGGGCTGGCTAATCCCGCGCGGTTGGAGAGTTGCGGAGCGGAGACCCTCTCCAGCGTTAGGGGGTCGGCGTTCACTGACTCTTAGGGCCCTGGGCTGGGACCCAGAGGTGAGGGTGGGCCCGGGTCCCCCTACCCATTCCCCTTCTCCCCACCCCCCTGCCCTGCCATAGGGCAGAGTTCCCAGGAGTGACTTTGTGCCGCGCCGAGTGTAGCAGCCCGAGCAGGACACAGTGCACGAGCCCCCGTAGCAGGACCCTTGGACTGGAAGGGTGAACCCTCGACGGGCCCCGGGGGGGGGACCTTGTCTCCAGGAAGTGGTAGTGGCGGTTGAAGGAGTGGTGGAGAATCCAGCACACCCAGGGGACTGGGAGGTGTCAGGGCGGGAGCCAGGGCTCCCCACGTCCCTTCTGACCTCCCACCCAGCGGGCCAGAAGAAAAGG